AAGGGCGGGGCCGGTTTGCGAGGCGCCTGCGTTCTGCCTGTTCGCAGAGACCTGAGAGCCTCTGGTAATCAGAATAGTAGCCATCGACTAGCAATTTATTAGGATCCTGGTCCAGAGTGCGCACCTCGGGTGTTGTAGGAGTCCGGCTTAAGTCTCACTTGTTGTTGGGCGCCTTCTTGAACAGATTTCCCTCCGTTACCCTTTTTTGAACTCTTAAAGTCACATCTAACATTCGTCATATGTTATTGTGCTTTTTCCCCATTGCTGTTGTGTTACCTGTCCTCTCTTCTCAACTAGATAGTACATTTCTTGTGATACACCTATACCTCCTCAAAGTCCGGTTATCAAAGTGGTCAGCACTTTGCATATTTAATTAAAGTAGTTGGTTTGAAAATACTATGTTTGAATGACGGATAGTGCAGATGTTAACCCTGGTTGTCGATAAGCTCTAAAAGTCTCTTGATCGTTCACAGCTCTTCAGCTAAGGGACAGATATGGCTTTCAGGATAAGAGCATTGGCGTAGAAATCAGAAGATACGAGAGTTAATATTTTAAACTCTAAATTTTACTTTAAAAACTCTTCTAATATTATTTACATGGGGAGACCTTAGCAAAGAAGGTTGATATTTGTTTATATTGTACTTACAAGGACTGTACATTTAACAAATTTAATTGAGCACAGATATGCAAGTTGCTGTTACGGGTACAGAGGTACTCTGTCATTTTGAGGGGTAGGATATTTTCCCTAGGGTAGGATATTTTTCCCTAGGGAAAAAGAAATATTCCTCAAATAAGAATAGGTTGAAATTGTCTACTTCATAAGTCAAAAGCTTTCATCTATTTTAACGTTGGATTTGACCTAGAACTTGGAGGAACAAGAACAAGCCCACTTGGGCAAATCTACATAATTCGAATCCTAATTGTGTCACTGTAAAAGAGTGTGTTAACAAATCTAAATAATTTGCATCCTGTGTTACTGTAAAAAAAATGTATTATATGTGGAAAACCAATTTATGATTGATTTTTAAAAAGGGATTGAATTAGATTATGAAAATTTTAAGTTCTTTTCTTCATAAGAAGAAATTTAGAAATAATCAAATACCATATAATACTTAAATTTTCTTGGAAGCAACAAATTTCAAAGCTCTCTTGATTTCCAGTGGCTGTACCCTTAGCATAACAAAATCTCCAGATATTGCAATCTTTTGGCATAAATTGAGGAAAATTCTCTAACACTAAATTTTTATTTCTGATGTTCCTCTTTTTTTTTATTTAATTGAATGTAAAATTTACTGTTTGATGGATTATTCAAAGAAAGGAAATTATTTTTAAATGTTATCCAGTAAGTATATTTTTAGTGCTATTACAAGGACATTATAACAAAACATCAGATAAAAATACAGATTTGCTTAAGAATATCTAACTGTGTATTTCCCAAATAATGCTAAATATCTTAAATTTATCGTCATGTTCTGTTTCAAAATATGTGCACTACTTTGTTAAGCTGTAGGCTATATATATTCCTCTTATATTTCTATCAAGTGTATTTTTTTCCTTTTTCTTTCTTTCTTTTTTCTTTTCTTTTTCTTTTTTTTTTTTTTTTTTTGAGATGGAATCTTGCTCTGTTGCCCAGATTGGAGTGCAGTGATGTGGTTTGGGTTCACTCCAACCTCCACCTCCTGGGTTCAAGTAGTTCTCCTGCCTCAGCCCCCCTAGTAGCTGGGATTACAGATGCCTGCCACCACGCCCAGCTAATTTTTTTTTTTTTTTTTTTAATTTTAGTAGAGACTGGGTTTCACCATGTTGGCCAGGCTGGTCTCGAACTCCTGACCTCAAGCAATCCATTCGTCTCGGCCTCCCAAACTGCTGAGATTACATGCGTGAGCCACTGCACCCCACTCCTTTTTTTCAAACACCAAGTCGAACCAGTTATCAAGTATATTTTTTAAGATACACTCTTTATTGTAAAAGTAATACCTGCTAGTTCCTCATCTTCCTTTCCTTCCCATACTCCCATTTCCTCTTCTCTGCTTGCTGTTTTCTTAGGTATAGTTTTAGGCACTGCCTTTGTGCATACAACATGCATTTGTGCCATGTTTTTATATGACTACCTTTATGCTAAAAGATAACACAGCTTAGATTACAGTCTACAATCTGTTCCATGACTCGAAGTTTTCACTTAACAGTATATGTCAGACATATTTTCATATTAACTTCATTCTTTTTTTTTTTTTTTTTTTGACAGAGACTCGCTTTGTCACCCAGGCTGGAGTGCAGTGGCACAATCTCGGCTCACTGCAACCTCTGCCTCTTGGATTCAAGTGATTCTCCTGCCTCAGCCTCCCCAGTAGCCACTGCACCTGGCTAATTCTGTATTTTTAGTAGAGATGGGGTTTCACCATGTTGGCCAGGCTGGTCTTGAATTCCTGACCTCAGGTGACCCACCTGCCTCGGTCTCCCAAAGTGCTGGGATTATGGGCATGAACCACTGCACCAGGCCATATTAGCCTCATTCTTTTGACCAGTTGCTAAAGTCTCTTGTGAATGAATGTATCTTTTTTTCCATCAGTTAGTGTACATTTGTCTTTGCTTACTAATGCAAATATTCACAGTAAATAAACTATACACAGTGAAAATGCTGAGTCAACAGATGCTCATTTAAAGTTTTGATAGAAATTATTTTTTTTTTTAAAAAAAGAATCACATAATTTTTCATTTTATTAGTTTGTTACATGGGGGCTTAAAGTCCATTTGAAAAGAAATGGGTGTGAAGTGACTTCATTGGTCAAAAAGAAAAGAAAAAGAAATGAGAAAATCCCAAGTCTCTTTAAAAATCGTCTTCTTTCTGCCAGGCATGGTGGCTCACACCTGTAATCCCAGCACTTTGGGAGGCTGAGGTAGGTGGATCATTTGAGGTCAAGAGTTCGAGACCAGCCTGGCCAACATGGTGAAACCCCGACTCTACTGAAAATACAAAATTAGCCAGGTGCGGTGGCTACTGGGGAGGCTGAGGCAGTAGAATCACTTGAACCCAGGAGCCAGAGGTTGCAGTGAGCTGAGATAGTGTCACTGCACTCCAGCCTGGGCAACAGAGTAAGACTCTGCCTCAAAAAAAAAAAAAGTCTTCTTTTCAATAGCCTTTCACTAACACATGAGTAACAACAAAAAATTAAATTAGTTGTTTGAGAATTAATGATTCATATGAACTCAGCACCAGTAGATTTTTCTCAGAAAAGTTAAACTATTTCTCCCCCTTTTATCCCATTTTAGGTCTCGCTTAAGTTATTCCTTAACAATGATGGAATAACTTGGACACAATGATCAAGGAACAATGATCAAGAATCTCTTTTTGACAAGATCTTTTTGCTGCAAGGACTCTTAAATAAACTAAGTTTAGCAGAGTGCTATATATGGAAGGTTATATTTATCTCCTCAGGAAAAAAAAACCTACATAAAAATATTTTTAAAATAATAATTAGTCATGAGCCCGAAAAGAATAATTGTTTAGTAATACTTCTCCTGCAAAAGCAGAAATCAGATTAAATATGATTCACTGAGACAAAGTACATTGTTTCCCTCTCTTGTGTTCATGCTACCTGTGATTTATGATAGATTGGGGATGCCACAGATAATACATGAATCTACAGTATATAGTGATATCTTAGTTCAAAGTGAATCCACAAAATAAATTACACAGAGACTATGGTTAAGCTCCAGATTATTTGGAAAATAATTATAAATGATCTCATTGGTCTAGAAATCTGAAATGGTTTATAACTTATTAAATTATTGATAACTGAATAATTTAAAAGTAAATGCTTAATGAAATTATTCCTTGGACATACACTTTAATAATGCCATTTAAACATGAATATTTTAATGTTTTATTGAGATGGGGTCTCAGTCACCCAGGCTGATTATAGTGCACTATAGCCGCATACTCCTGAGCTCAGGTGATTCTCCTGATTTAGACTTTCTGGTAGCTGAGACTACAGGTGTACACCACAGTGCCTGGCCAAATATTTTAATTTTAACTGTAAATCTATTTGCAGTTAAGTATAGATTTTATTATGCTTGGGAACCAAGCTGAGAATAAATAAAAAATAAGATAATGAGAAACTTTATGTGGTAGGCTTAATAATGTCCTCCTACCCCAAAGATGTTCATGTTCTACAAACCTGAAACTTGTGAATATGTTACCTTAACTGGCAAAAGGGATTTCAAAGATGTGATGAAATTAAATGTCTTGAGATGAGAAGATTATCGTGGATTATCTCTGTAGTCTGAATGTAGAGGTCCTTATAAAAGAGAGGCAGCAGAGTCAGGGGAAGAGAAGATGTGATAACAGAAGCAGGAGTCAGAATCTGGGATCTGAAAGCTCAAGCTGTTGGCTTCGAAGATGGAGAAGGAGACCATGAGAGCCAAAGAATGCAGTCAACCACTACAAGACAGACAAGTGAAAACATTCTCTGGAGCTCAGAAGAAACACAGGCTAGCTGACACCTTTATTTTAGCCAAGTGAGATTTCTAATCTACATAATTGTAGATAATAAACGTGTTGTTTTAAGCCAGTGAATTTGGGGTAATTTGTTACAGTAGCCATGGGAAACTGATGCATATTATACAATAGTTGGACATAATCCTGACAAAGCTATAGTCAAATATCATCAATTTGTGGAGAAAAGATGACAGTATGACATTATTTTAATGCCTACATCAGTTGAACCAGCTATTAGAGTTAAGAACAATTCTTAGAAAAACATTCCATGTAGTCAGCCTGTTTTAAACAAATCCAATGTATGAAAATCATGTTATAAGGTAAATTGGAAAAGTTTACTTACTTTAAATCTTTAATCTGTCACATTTTATGCTTTCTATTTTTAAACTTTATGCCTCCTGAAAAATAATAGTTAAAAAAAAATAAGCATAACCCTTAGTTTCTTTCCAAATGCCTTTACGTTTTTTTTTGTTTGTTTGTTTGTTTTTGAGACGGAGTTTCGCTCTTGTTACCCAGGCTGGAGTGCAATGGCGCGATCTCAGCTCACCGCAACCTCTGCCTCCTGGGTTCAGGCAATTCTCCTGCCTCAGCCTCCTGAGTAGCTGGGATTACAGGCACGCGCCACCGTGCCCAGCTAATTTTTTGTATTTTTAGTAGAGACGGGGGGGGGGTCTCACCATGTTGACCAGGATGGTCTCGATCTCTTGACATCGTGATCCACCCGCCTCGGCCTCCCATAGTGCTGGGATTACAGGCTTGAGCCACCACGCCCGGCCGCCTTTACGTTTTAAAGCAGTAATTACACCTTGCGTCATTACCCACTTCAGCCGGCGCCCAGCTGGAGGGCGTCCGAGAGCCCGGAGCAGCGCGCCTGGAGGCCAGAGCAGGAGAGGGAGGAGTAGGAGGAAGTGGTCAGCAGCGCGGCGGGCGCCAGGCAATGGTGCTTCCCTGGTTGCTGCTTGGGACTGCGCGCAAGGCGGTCCTTAGGTCGGTGGAGGCTGCGCTCTGCGGTGAGCTTGGTGGTCCCTGGGAAAAGGGAGAGCGCCTAACCTTGGACTTCAGGCAAGGGTTAACGTTGGTCGGGAAGCCATCAATCCTGGCATCTGGGGATATAACCCCCATTTGCAGTTCTTGTTCCTTTAGATCTCGGGCTACAGAACCTGGGGGCGCTCTGGGGTCGCGGGGGGCCGAGGTAAACACTGCTTCAGCGAACTCGTGTGGGAGGGCGTTTATATTGGTAATGCTGCTTGACTGAGCAGAGTAAAGGTCAATTTGCCACTCAGAGGAGCGAGCAAGATGGTCAGTCCCTGCCCGCGATCCCAGCCATGAGAGTTACATTTGTGACCGGCTAGAGAGCAGCGCTTAGCGCTTCCTGAAACAGCCACCTAGAACTATAACGTGTTAAAGTTGTAAAAGTACCACCCCTCATTTTACCGCTAAGTCAGCAGAAGCCAGAGAAGTGAAGGTGGTTACCGGAGGCGTTGGGTCTAGAACTAAAGGCAGGCCTTCAGGCCCTTCTTTTCGTTTTGCATGCTGCCTGTCCTCTAGCATCAAGTTTTATCTGCGGATGCTGCTACAGGGGCCCAGCATTCCCCCCAGCTTCCCCCCAGCCCCACCTACCATTCTGTGTATTTTAACTGTTGATAAGTCCTCTGTAGTTTAAGTTGTGCTTTTCTATGCACATTTTTGGTTTTTCTTTTCTCCGCTTAAGAAACAGAGTCTGGCTCTGTCTCCGCGGCTGGAATGCAGTGCTGTAATCACAGCTCACTGCAGCTTGGAACTCGCTGGCTTAAGCGATCCTCCTACTCAGCTTGCAAGTAGCTAGGACTACAGGCGGAGGCCGTAAGGCCCAGCTGATTTTGTTTTGTTTTGTTTTTGTAGAGATAGGGTTTTAGCTATGTTTCTCAGGCTGGTCTCAAACTCCTGGCCTCAAGTGATCCGCCTGCCTTGGCCTCCCACAGTGTTGTAATTACAGGTGTGAGCTATTGCTCCTGGCCACAAATTGTTTTCTTTCACTTTTATTCAAGAATCATTTGGTGGGTGTGGTGGCTCTTGCCTATAATCCTAGCACTTTGAAAGGCTGAGCTTTTTGAGTTCAGAAGTTCAAGACCAGCCAGACCAACATGTCAAAACCCCATCTCTACAAAAAATTAGCTGTGCATGGTGGCATACAACTGTAATCCCAGCTACTTGAGGCAGGAGGATCACTTGAGCCCGGGAGATTGATGCTACAGTGAGTTGAGATCACATCACTGCACCCCAGCCCAGGTGACAAAGTGAGACCCTGTCTTAAAAAAAAGAATCATTTATTGAGCTCTGGGACTGGTGTGGTGGCTCACACCTATAATCTCAGCACTTTGGAGGCCAAGGCAGGAGGACTGCTTGAGCCCAGAGTTCAAAACCACCCTGGACTGCATAGTGATACCCCCTCTCTATTAAAAAAGAAAGAAAGAAAGAAAGAAAGAAAGAAAAAGCTGAGCTACATAGTGATACCCCATCTCTAATAAAAAAAAAAGAAAGAAAAAAGCCCAGCATTGTAGCACACACATGTAGTCCCAGCTACCAGTGAGGCTGAGGTGGGAGGACTTGCTTGAGTCTGGGAGGTCTAGGATGCAGTGAGTCATGATTGCACCACTGCACTCCAGCCTGGGCCACAGAGCAAGACCTTGTCTCAAAAATGAGAAGCCAATCATTTACTGACTAAACTGCCAGGCTGCTCGGGATATGGTCTCCGCAGCTCAGTTCACCCATTTCTAGGGAAAACAGACACAAGTAATCACCACACACAGCCCAGTCGAGTGACACTGAATGCAAAGAACAACTGACTCTGAGTTCTAGAAAGTATTAGAAAAAGGTGCCTTTTTCACTTAAATAATTATGCTGTAACACAAAAATTAGCCGAGTGCCGGTAGTGCCAGCTACTAAGGAGACTGAAGTGTAAGGATTGCTTGAGCCTGGGAGATAATGCCACTGTTCTTCAATCTGGTTGCCACAGCAAGACCCTGTCTCAAAATAAATAAATATACATATACAATTATGTTAGTATTATACAACTCTATCCTCATATTGAAACAAAACACAACATATGGCTCCTTTATATATCTCCCCCCTCCCACTCTTCTCCCCAGATATGGCTTGATACACATCCTTCTAAACACTTGCCTGTAAGTATACATAAATAAAAGGACATAAAAATACTGTATATACAAATGTGACCTGTGCATACTTTTCTGCAATTCAGAAAAGGTATTCAGAAGCTTTCCATGATGGCACATGTATTTCTCTTTTAACTGCTGCATATATTCCACCATTAATCAGTCACCTATTGATGAACATTTTGATTTCCAATATTTTGCTATTATAAAGTTGTTCAATAATTATCACTTGGACGGGCGCGGTGGCTAACGCCTATAATCCCAGCACTTTGGGAGGCCGAGGTGGGTGGATCATGAGGTCAAGAGATCGAGACCATCCTGGTCAAATGAGGTGAAACCCCGTCTCTACTAAAAATACAAAAAATAATTAGCTGGGCATGGTGGTGCGCACCTGTAGTCCCAGCTACTCGGGAGGCTGAGGCAGGAGAATTGCTTGAACCCAGAAGGCGGAGGTTGCAGTGAGCCGAGATCGTGCCATTGCACTCCAGTCTGGGTAACAACAGCGAAACTCGGTCTCAAAAAAAAAAAAAAAAATAAATGATCACTGTACATGCCACTTTGTGTATTTGTACAACTATTTTACTAGAATAGATGTCTAGATGCTAGGTTTTTAGGTTAAAGGGGAGGTGGCAAGGGCCATTTAACTGGGTCTTAAAGGAGAGTAAGAGTATTCCATGGAGAGATGCGAGAGAAAGATGCGAGATCCATGGGCAGTGTGTATAAATCACGAAGGAAAGGCATAAATAGATATTGATTGATTGCACTGTATATGCATTTAACTTACTTAAAGCTCATAGGTTTAAATGATAATATTACTATTTTACAAATAAGAAACTACGTCCTAAAAAGTTTAAGTAATTTCTCCAAGCTTATAGAGACAAGTGGGTAAGCCAGAATGTGAATCTAGGTTTATCTGACTCTAAAATCCCTCCTCTTTCCATTATAAAACTATTTAGAGCACACATATACTTTTGATGTAGCTGGAGGGTAGGGATATTGGGGCCTAAGAGGAGGAATTGGGGGAGGAGTGGGTTTGGTAAGGGGTTGTTGAAAGGCATTAAGAACATACTAAGGAGCTGGGATTCTATCCTGTGATATAATGCTGCAGTGACTATCCAGGCGAGGTTAGGTTTACTAATGTGGAAACGGAAAAACTGGAGGTTATTCAAAGATTAGGCTGAAAAGGTGAAAATCAGGTGCAGTCTATATTACTCTTGAAAATCCCTCTAGAGAACCACACGTTATCTCTCAGTAAATCCCAAATAGCCAGTTTTTCTTCAGTATAGGAACAGATTAATGTTTCTTTGAGCACAAGATCAAGTGGTTGATTTATAAGTGGAGGACATGCTGTACATAAAAACACACACTATTAGCTTTAAATAATTAGTATGGAATAGAGGCTCGTATCTATGAGAGGCCTAGGGGAGCTGAGACTCATCAAGGAAATGGGCTTATTTCAGGCTTTCCTCACTGAGTGGAAAAGCAGAAAATCTAGTGTTCACTGGTTATTCTCCCATGCTCCACCTCCCAATAGGACTATAATTGAATTACAGAAAGTTAAATATAAGTTAGATGACTTTACAAGAAAAACCTAAGTATCTTTTATCCAGTTAAAGATGTTACTTTCAGTGATTATCTTTCACAGTGGCTAAGAGTCAGAATCTTGAGTTTAACATAAATGATAAAATTACCATGGTTTTCCAGTTCCTAACAATGAGAAGCAGTAATGAGCATTAATTCAGCCTGCTGGCCCTTTATATTCTGGGAATTCCCAAAACAGCTAGCTATGAGAAATAGTTTGATTCCAGGTTAAGATCTAATCTTGTAGACACAATGAATTTCTAGTTTTCAAATCTGAAGGGGATGAGGAAACCTATATTTTTATTTTTAAATTGTGTTTATTGTGATAAAATTTGTGTATTTGTGATTTTAACTATTTTGAATGTACAATTCAATAGCATTAATTACATTCAGTGTTGTGCAACCATCAACACTTATTTCAGTACAAAAATTTTCATCACCCCAAACAGAAACTCCCCATTCCTCCTCCCTCCAACTCCTGACAACCTCTAATCTACTTTCTGTCTCTGTGAATTTGCCTATTCTAAACATTTCATATAAATAGAATCATACAATGTTTGTCCTTTTGTTTCTGTCTTATTTCACTCAGTATGTTTTCAAGGTGCATCCATATTGTAGCATGTGTCAGTGCTTCATTCATTTTTATGGCCGACTAATATTCCACTGTATGTATACATCACATTTTATTTATCTGTGAATCTGTTGATGAACACTTTGATTGTTTCTACCTTTTGATTATTGTGAATAATGTTAATATGAGCATTAGTGTACAAGTATCTGTTTGAGCCTGTTTTCATTTGAGCATATACATAGGAGTGGAATAGCTGGAAACCTGTTCATTTAAAGCTTTATACGTATCGAACATTTTTATGTTATTTTGCTATCCATGAAAATGACAGATGAAATTGGAAAGTGTGGTCTGAAGGTAGTGAGTGAGTTATCTCAACTGATTGTCCAGTCAGTTACAGATTGAACTTGTTCTACTCTTTTCCCCCTTCACACTACTGCACTTGACTAGTCTAAAAAAAAAGAAATAAAATAGATGCATGTCTGGTTTTCTTTTTTTTTGAGACGGAGTTTCATTCTTGTTACCCAGGCTGCAGTGCAATGGTGTGATCTCAGCTCACCGCAACTTCTGCCTCCTGGGTTCAGGCAATTCTCCTGCCTCAGCCTCCTGAGTAGCTGGGATTACAGGCACGCGCCACCATGCCCAGCTAATTGCGTGTCTGTTTTTTATAAGAAGATATGCTTTTTTTGCAACTTACTTTTGGCTTTTCTTAATGCACTTAATACATAGAACTGCTGGAAATTCCTTTTGGCCTATGAGCTCTGCAAGAAATTACCAAGGCATTAAAAGCATTGTAAAGCCAGAAAGTTTTGGAACCTTACGTTTATACACAATGTTCAACAACTAGTTTTTTAAACTCAATATTGTTTTGGATAATTGACATTAAATAATGCATATCCCATTGTGTAAATGTACCACATATAACAATTGCCTTAGTGATGAACTTCCAGGTTATTGTAGTTTTCCAATGATATAAAGAATGCTACCCATGAACATAATTACACATATATGCATCTGTATTAACTCATACTAAGATTCCTAACATTGTGAGGTAAAACGGATATGCATACTTAAAATGTTATTACAGCTAAATTTCCCTTCAAAAGTTTGTAACATTATACATTACCAATAATGTATGAAAGTACCCATTTCCTCATTCCCTCACCAATATTTGATATTATAAATTCTTTTAATTTTTACAAGAGACTCCGCCAACAGGGCGGAGCCCACAACAGCAGGGCAGAGCCCAAGGGCAACAGGGAGGAGCCCAGGACGGCAGGGTGCAGTCCACAGCAGCAGGGCGGAGCCCACAGCAGCAAGGACTGGAGTGGACCTCAGCAGTCGTACAGCAGAGGGGCTAGACTGTTAGAAGGAAAACTAAGTAACAGAAATACTTCAGCATCAACAATCTGGGCGTACACTCAGAGACCCAATCGAAAAGCCAGCAACTACTCAGACGACAGGTGGATAAACCCACAAAGATGGGAAGAAACCAGCGCATAAAGGAGAAAAATACCCAAAACCAAAACAGCTCGCCTCCTACAAAGGACCAAAACTCCTCACCAGCAAAGAAACAAAGCTGGACGGAGAATGAGTGTGATGAAATGATGGAATCAGACTTCAGAAGGTGGATAATGAGAGCCTTCTGTGAGCTAAAAGAACATGTTCTAAATCAATGCAAAGAAACTAAGAACCTTGAAAAAAGATTTGAAAAAAGATTCGAGGAAATGATAACAAGAATGGACAACTTAGAGAGGAATATGAATGGATTGAAGGAGTTGAAAAACACAACACGAGAACGTCGCGAAGCATGCACAAGTTTCAACAGCCGAATTGACCAAGCAGAAGAAAGATATCAGAAGTCGAAGATCAACTCAATGAAATTAAACGAGAAACCAAGATTAGAGAAAAAAGTGCAAAAAGGAATGAACAAAGTCTCCAAGAAATGTGGGACTATGTGAAGAGACCTAACCTACGTTTGATAGGTGTACCAGAATGTGATGAAGAGAATGAATCCAAGCTGGAAAATACTCTTCAGGATATTATCCAGGAAAATTTCCCCAACCTAGCAAGTCAGGCCAATATTCAAGTCCAGGAAATACAGAGAACACCACAAAGATATTCCACAAGAAGAGCAATCCCAAGGCACATAATCATCAGATTCACCAGGGTTGAAATGAAGGAGTAAATACTAAGGGCAGCCAGAGAGAAAGGTCGGGTCACCCACAAAGGGAAGCCCATCAGACTCACAGCAGATCTCTCAACAGAAACTCTACAAGCCAGAAGAGAGTGAGGGCCAATATTCAACACCCTTAAAGAAAAGAACTTTCAACCCAGAATTTCATATCCAGCCAAACTGGGCTTCAGAAGTGAAGGAAAAATAAAATCCTTTGCGAACAAGCAAGTACTCAGAGATTTTGTCACCACCTGCTTTACGAGAGCTCCTGAAAGAGGCACTATACATAGAAAGGAACACCCAGTACCAGCCATTCTAAAAACATACCAAATGCTAAAAAGCATCAACAAAAAGAAGAATCTGCATCAACTAACGGGCAAAACAGCCAGCTAGCATCAAAATGGCAGTATCAAATTCACACATAACAATATTAACCCTAAATTTAAATGGGCTAAATGCACCAATCAAAAGACACAGACTGGCAAATTGGATAAAAATCCAAAACCCATTGGTGTGCTATATCCAGGAAACCCATCTCACATGCAAGGATACACAAAGGCTCAAAATAAAGGGATGGAGGAAGATTTACCAAGCAAATGGAGAGCAAAAAAAAGCAGGAGTTGCAATTCTCATCTCTGATAAAATAGACTTTAAAGCAACAAAGATCAAAAGAGACAAAGAAGGTCAATACATAATGGTAAAAGGATCAATACAACAAGAAGAGCTAACGATCCTAAATATATATGGACCCAATACAGGAGCACCCAGATATATAAGGCAAGTTCTTAACGACTTACAAAGAGACTTAGACTCCCACACAATAATAGTGGGAGACTTTAACACTCCACTGTCAATATTAGACAGATCAACCAGACAGAAAATTAACAAGGATATCCAGGGCTTGAACTCAGATGTGGAACAAGCAAACGTGATAGACATTTACAGAGCTCTCCACCCCAAATGCACAGAATATACATTCTTCTCAGCACCACATCACACCTACTCTAAAATTGACCACATTATAAGAAGTAAATCACTCCTCAGCAAATGCAAAACAATTGAAATCATAACAAACAGTCTCTCAGACCATAGTGCAATCAAGTTAGAACTCAGAATTCAGAAACTAACTCAGAATCGCACAGCTTCATGGAAACTGAACAACTGGCTCTTGAATGTTGATTGGATAAACAATGAAATGAAGGCAGAAATAAAAAAGTTCTTCGAAACCAACGAGAACGAAGACACAACATACCAGAATCTCTGGGACACATTTAAAGCAGTCTCTAGAGGAAAATATATAGCAATAAGTGCCCACATGAGAAGAGTGGAGAGATCCAAAATTGACACCCTATCGTCAAAATTGAAGGAGCTAGAGGAGCAAGATCAAAAACACTCAAAACCTAGCAGAAGACAAGAAATAACTAAGATCAGAGCAGAACTGAAGGAGATAGAGACATGAAAAACCCTTCAAAAAATCAATAAATCCAAGAGCTGGTTTTTTGAAAAGACCAACAAAATAGACCACTAGCCAGACTGATAAAAAGGAAAAGAGAGAACAACCAAATAGATGCAATAAAAAAATGATAAAGAGGAAATCACCACAGATTCCACAGAAATTCAAACCATCATCAGAGAATACTACAAACAACTCTATGCACATTAGTAAACCTGGAAGAAATGGATAAATTCCTGGACATCTGTGTCCTCCCAAGTCTAAACCAGGAGGAATCCGAAACTATGGGACCTAATCAAACTCCACAGCTTCTGCATGGCAAAAGAAACAGTCACTAGAGTGAATCGGCAACCAACAGAATGGGAAAAAAATCTTTGCAGTTTACCCATCTGACAAACGGCTGATATCCAGAATTTACAAAGAACTCAAACAGATTTACAGGAAAAAACAAACAAGCCCATTCAAAAATAGGCAAAAGATATGAACAGACACTTTACAAAAGAAGACATACATGAGGCCAACAAACATATGAAAAAATGCTCATCATCACTGGTCATTAGAAAGATGCAAATCAAAACCACACTGAGATATCATCTCACACCAGTTAGAATGGCATTCATTAAAAAATCTGGAGACAACAGATGCTGGAGAGGATGTGGAGAAATAGGAACACTTTTATACTGTTGGTGGGAGTGTAAACTAGTTCAACCATTGTGGAAGACAGTGTGGCGATTCCTCAAGGCCTTAGAAATAGAAATCCCATTTGATCCAGCAATCCCATTACTGGGTATATATCCAAAGGACTATAAATCGTTCTACTATAAGGACACATGCACACGAATGTTCATTGCAGCACTGTTTACAATAGCAAAGACCTGGAACCAACCCAAATGCCCATCAATGATAGACTGGACTGGGAAAATGTGGCACATATACACCATGGAATACTATGCAGCAATAAAAAATGATGAGTTCGTGTCCTTTATAGGGACATGGTCGAATTTGGAGAACATCATCCTCAGCATACTGACACAAGAACAGAAAATGAAATACCACATATTCTCACTCATAGGCAGTGAGGAAAAATGAGAACACATGGACACACATCGGGGTCTATTGGGGGGAATGGGGAGGGACAGTGGGGAGGGGGGCTGGGGAGGGATAGCCTGGGGAGAAATGTCAAATGTGGGTAAAGGGGAGGAAGGCAGCAAAACACACTGCCATGTGTGTACCTATGCAACTATTTTGCACGTTCTGCACATGTACCCCAAAACCTAAAATGCAATAAAAAAGAAAAAAAAAGAAATTTCCATCATAGACCTAAAAAAAAAAAAATCAGTGAAAAACTTGTAGTTAATAATGTGAAATATTTATGTTGTAAAGTAGAAGGAAATAGAACATGAAAATGTTCACAACTGTTAAAATATATGCATCAGAAGAGGGAAGAGTGAATGAAAATAGCTTCAAAATATTGTTATTTTGAAGAATAAGTCCACAGGTGCAATGTTTCTTAATTTTCTATACTTGTTACAATAAGCACATATTTATACAGGTTTTACAAAAGGAAATAAAGTATAAAGAAAACTTACTATGTTTGGTTTAAATGAATATTTACCTTGTTATTTATAGAAGTAATTTAACAATATTAAGGCAAACTGGAAGTGTGGATTCGCCTATAATCTCATTCCCTGGAAACCTGACAATTTTAGTTTATAAAAAAGAAATTTTTTTTACAAACCTGACAAAATAACAAAATTTTGTTTATATGTTGTATTTCCTTAATTAGTAGGGAGATCAGGTACCTTCTCACATTTTATTGGCTATTTATATTTCTCATGTCAATTCCATGTTCATATAGTTTGACCATTTTTCTATGAGTTTTTTCCTTTTTCCTAGTTAATTGTATGAACTCTATTTTATTAACATTAATCTTTTTTTCTGTGTCACAAGTATTTTCTTCCTGCCTGTCACTTGAATTCAAAGTGTCCATTGTTCTTTTTCCATATATAAATTTAGCATTTTATATGAGATCAAACCTTTATGATTTCTGATTTTTGTCATGTTTAGAATGGCCTTCCGGTCCTAAGACTTAAATTATCCACTCATGTTTTCTAAGAGTACTTTTAAGATATTAGACTTTAGGTTTATATTTGGAATTTATTTAAGCATAAGAAGTGAGGTAACAGCTTGTTCATGTTTTCTCCTACTTAGTTGGCCTGTTTATTGACTATCATTTCCTTACTAATTTGAAATGTCACTTAGCAGATAATGAATTATCATATAAAGTATACTGTAAGTCTCTTTTCTGGACTTAAGACTTTTAAACCTTTTCTTTTGCCAGTTCTACACTACTTAAATCAATTTTACTGTATTTAATACTTTAAACAAAATTTGAAGCACAACTGTATCATTTAATGTTTTTTTTTTTCTGAGACAATGTTTCATTCTGTCACTTAGGCTTGAGGGCAGTGGTGCCATCGCAGCCTCACTGCAGCCTTCACCTCATGGGTTCAAATGATCATCCTGCCTCAGCTTCCCTAGAAACTGGGACAACAGGCATGTGCCATCACATCTGGCTAATTTTTTAAAAGACTTAGTAGAGATGGAGTCTGACTGTGTTGCCCAGGCTCTCTCTAACTGCTGGACTCAAGTAATCCTCTCACCTTAGCCTCCCAACATGTTGGGATTATAGGCGTAAGCCACTATGCTTGGCCTTATTTTCCCTTTTTTTTTTTTGTTTTTTTTTCAAGACAGAGTCTCGCTCTGTCACTAGGCTGGAGTGCAATGGGGTGATCAAGTGAACCACCTCCCAGGTTCAAGTGATTCTCCTCCTCAGCCACCCGAGTAGCTGGGATTACAGGTGCCTGCCACCACGCCCAGCTAATGTTTGTATTTTTAGTAGAGACGGGGTTTCACCATATTGGCCAGGATGGTCTTGAATTCCTGACCTTGTAATCCACCTGCTTCAGCCTTCCAAAGTGCTGGGATTACAGGTGTAAGCCACCGTGCCCAGCCATTTTCCGTTTTTTTCTTTGTTTTTTTGAGACGGAGGTTCGCTCTTATTACCCAGGCTGCTGGAGTGCAATGGTGTGATCTTGGCTCACTGCAACTTCCACCTCCTGGGTTCAAGCAATTCTCCTGCCTCAGCCTCCTGAGTAGCTGGGACTACAGGCGCACACCACCATGCCCAGCTAATTTTTTGAATTTTTAGTAGAGACGGAGTTTCACCTTGTTGACCAGGATGGTCTCGATCTCTTGACCTCGTGATCCACCTGCCTCGGCCTCCCAAAGTGCTGGGATTATAGGCGTGAGCCACCGCGCCCGTCCAAGTGATAATTATTGAACAACTGCACCCGGCCTGCCATTTTCCTTTCTTATAGTGGTCATTTTGTTGTGAAATATGAACATTATTACTTCTTTTGCTATTTCATTTTCAAAATCTGTTGGATATTCTTTTTAAAAAAATAATTTTAGACCTGTAGAAAAATTGCAAAGTAAGTTTCCTTTATTCTTGCCAACTTCATGTAGTATATAAACATCTTATATAGTGCAATTATTGAAATCAGGAAATTAATATTGCTATAATACTATTAACTAATCTGCAGACTTTATCTTTCTTGACATTGACACTTTTAAAGGGAGTACTAGTTATTTTGTAGATTTTTTTAATCTGAGGTTCTCTTCTAATTAAATTCAGGAAATAAATTTTTTTTTTTTTTTTTTTTTTGAGACGGAGTTTCGCTGTTGTTACCCAGACTGGAGTGCCATGGCACGATCTTGGCTCACCGCAACCTCCGCCTTCTGGGTTCAAGCAATTCTCCTGCCTCAGCCTCCCAAGTAGCTGGGACTACAGACGTGCAACACCATGCCCAGCTAATTTTTGTATTTTTAGTAGAGACAGGGTTTCACCTTGTTGACCAGGATGGTCTCGATCTCTTGACCTCATGATCCACCCGCCTCGGCCTCCCGAAGTGCTGGGATTATAGGCGTGAGCCACCGTGCCCAGCCAGGAAATGAATTTTTTTTGCAAGAATACTAAGGAAGTGGGACCCTGCCAGAGCCACTGTTGCCAGCGACATGTTCAAGGTAATTCAGAGGTCCGCGGGGCCGGCCAGCCTGAGCTTGCTCACCTTCAAAGTCTATGCTGTACCAAAAACGGTCTCACCTCCCAAAAATTCTGTGAAGGTTGATGAGCTTTCACTCTACTCAGTTCCCAAAGGTCAATTGAAGTATGTGGAGGAGTCAAGGAGCCCACTTGAAGAAAGCATCTCACAGCTTCGACACTACTGTGAGCCATACACAAGCTGGTGTCAGGAAACGTACTCCCAAACTAAGCCCAAGATGCAAAGTTTGGTTCAATGGGGGTTAGGTTAAAAAATGAAGAAGCTAGTGTATCCACCTGGTTTCTTTTTTTTTTTTTTTTTTTTTTGCTGTGCTAACTATATGCATTCTTTTTTTTTTTTAATTTTTTATTGGATTTTAGGTTTTGGGGTACATGAGCAAAGCATGCAAGACAGTTGCGTAGGTACACACATGGCAGTGTGCTTTGCTTTCCTTCTCCCCTTCACCCACATTTGGCATTTCTCCCCAGGCTATCCCTCCCCACCTCCCCCTCCCTCTGACCCTCCCCTTTTCCCCCCAATAGACCCCAGTGTTTAGTACTCCCCTTTCTGTGTCCATGTGTTCTCATTTTTCATCACCCGCCTATAAGTGAGAATATGCGGTGTTTCAATTTCTGTTCTTGTGTCAGTTTGCTGAGGATGATGTTCTCCAGATTCATCCATGTCCCTATAAACGACACAAACTCATCATTTCTGATTGCTGCATAATATTCCATGGTGTATATGTGCCACATTTTTCCAATCCAGTCTATTATCAATGGGCATTTGGGTTGATTCCAGGTCTTTGCTATTGTAAACAGTGCTGCAATGAACATTCGTGTACATGTGTCCTTATAGTAGAACGATTTATAGTCTTTTGGATATAAACCCAGTAATGGGATTGCTGGGTCAAATGGAATTTCTATTTCTAAGACCTTGAGGAATCGTCACACTGTCCACCTGGTTTCATGGGATTAGCTGCCTCTCTCTATTATCCACAACAAGCCATTGTGTTTGCCCAGGTCAGTGGGGAGAGATTATATGACTGGGGTTTATAAGCATATATTGTCATAGAAGATTTGTGGAAGGAGAACTTTCAAGAGCCAGGAAATGTGAAGAATTCACCTGGAACTAAGTAGAAAACTCCATGCTCTGCCCATCTTAATCAGTTATAGGTAAACATTGGAAACTCCATAGAATAAATCAGTATTTCTACAGAAAATGGCAGAGAAGTCAGTATTGAATGTATTAAATTGGCTTTCTTCTTCAGGAAAAACTAGACCAGACTTCTGTTACCTTGGGTGATACCATCCTACAAGCAAACTAATCTGAAACCCTTTCACCTAGAGATAATGTACAAGCCTTAGAACTCCTCGTTCTCATGTTGTTATTTATGTATATAATTAAAACCCAAGTTAAAAAAAAAAACGAATACTAAGGAAGTGATATTATGCTCTTCTCAGGGCCTCATATCAGGAGGCACATATTGTCAACATGTCTTATTACTAGTGAAGTTATCTTTGAATAAATGGTTAAAGTGGTATCTTTCAGGTTTCTCCCTCTGTAATTAATAAGTACCTCATGGGAAGATATTACCTCATTTGTCATCACACTTTTACCTCTAGATCTATATCTATCAATCGTTCTTACCTAGAGTGTTTGCCTAATGATTTTCTCTTCCCATCATTCCTTCTGTATTTACCAGTTGGAAAGTCCATATATGGAAGATAATCCCTTTTCCCCATTTATTTATTCTATTATGTCCTTATTATCACTATGAACCCATGGATTTATTTTATGGGTTATTATCCAGTACCATATTATGTTACAATTACAGCTAGCACTCTGTATCTGCGGGTTCAACATCATAGGATTCAGTCAACTAGAGAGAAAATATTCGGGAATAAAAACCCAAAATAACAATACAACATCAACAACAAAAACAAAATACAGTATGACCACTATTTACATAGCATTTACAGTGTACTAAGGATTTTAAGTAAGCCAGATGATTTAAAGTACACGGGAGATGTGCATAAGTTATATGCAAATACTATGCCATTTTATATAAGAGACTTGAGCATCCACAGACTTTGGTATACAAGGGAATAGTGGAACCAATCCCCTTCAGATATCAAAGGTGAACTATATTTAAAAGATAGAAACAGTGCCAGACTGGGTGAAGTGGCTCATGCCTGTAATCCCAGCACTCTGGGAGGCCAAAGTGGGCAAATCATGAGGTCGAGAGATTGAGACCATCCTGGCCAACATGGTGAAACCTAGTCTCACTAAAAATACAAAAATTGGCTGGTCATGGTGGCGAGCGCCTGTAGTCTCAGCTGCTTTGGAGGCTGAGGCAGAAGAATTGCTTGAACACAGGAGGCAAAGATCGCAGTGAGCTAAGATTGCGCCACTGCACTCCAGCCTGGCGACAGAGACTTTGTCTCAAAAGAAAAAAGAAACAGTGCCATTAAGGACTTACAAGTGTAGTATAAAATGTAAGGTCCCCACATGTAATGTATGGCTTAATATCTTTGCTTGCAAGGGGAAATGAAATTAAAATTTTTTTAATATTGTAACTTGGATTAAGATTTACAAATTATTTCTGTAATTCAGTTACCAGATGCTGAATGTATGCTTATAAGCTCCCACCAATTAAGGGGCTTGGAAAGAGTACAATATGAAACTGACACAAGGCCAATATCAAACATTTAGGGCAGCACAGGCTGCATCCTAATGCTCAGAGTCAGGATACATGCATACATGGAAAAACTCCTTTGTCCTTTCTTTCTTTCTTTCCTTTTTTTTTTTTTTTTTGAGTTTCGCTCTTGTTGCCCAGGCTGGAGTGCAATGGTGCAATCTTGGCTCACTGCAACCTCTGCCTCCTGGGTTGAAGAGATTCTCCAGCCTCAGCTTCCCAAGTAGCTGGGATCACAGATGCCCATTACCAAGCCTGACCAATTTTCGTATTTTTAGTAGAGATGGGGTTTCATCATGTTGGTCAGGCTGGTCTTAAACTCCTGACCTCAGGCGACCCACCCACTTCTGCCTCTCAAAGAGCTGGATTACAGGCATGAGCCACCATGCCTGGCCTTCTTTTTTTTTTGGGACAGGTTCTCACTGTGTCCTCCAGGTTGGAGTTCAGTGATGTGATCTTACCTCACTGCAACCCCACCTCTCAGGCTCAAGAGATCCTCCCACTTTGGCCTCCAAAGTTCTGGGATTACAGGCATGAGCCATCATGCTTGGCTGAAAAATTATTTTCTATACTCTCACAACACTTTTGACATCAGATATGTGAGTTTTCCAAAACCAAGCAATTTTCCAATTCTCTGTGGACACTAACTGGATGTTCTAATATTTTATTTTGAACTAACTTCCCAAAGTTAGCACAGACCCCACAGGCTAAGGGCTCAGTCCCACAAGACTGTCCCTACCTCAGATGCCAGTCACAAGTTCAGGCTTCCCACACTTCTGACCAAGTAGCTGTAAATTGGGGGTTCCCTTGACCCCCTCCTTGGGTTTGATACTTTGCTAGAACTGCTCAAAGAAGTTAGAGAAACATATTTATTGGTTTACTTTAAAGAATATAATAAAAAATACAGATAAACAGCCAGATGAAGAAGTACATAGTGGGAAGTCTGAAAGGGTCCCATGCACAGGAGCTTCTGTCCCCGTGGAGTTGGAGTGCTGTGCTATCCTCACAGCACTTGCATGTGCTCACCAACCAGAAGCTCTCTGAACCCCATAGTTTAGAGATATTTATGGAAGCTTCATCATGTAATCATCAGTTATTAACTCAGTCTCCAGCCACTCTTACCTCCTAGAGGATGAGAATGGGGCTCAGTTCCAAGCTTCTAATCATAGTTGGGTCTTTCTGATGACCAGCCCCCATCCTGAAGCTGTCCAGGAGCCCACCAAGAGTCACTTCATTAGAACAAAAGAATCTCCTATTACCCAGGACTTCCAAGGGATTTGGGAGTTCTGTGTCAGGAAGTGGAATAAAAGACCAAATACATTAAAACAAAACATGCTTCTAGCACCATCCCCTGCCCCCATCACTCAGGAAATTATAAGGGTTTTAGGAGCTCTTGTATCAGGAACCAGGAGCACAGACCAAATATATATATATTGTGTCACTATAAAAATACATAGAATACATAGTTTATTAAAGTAAAAAACATTATTAACTGGCTGGAGCTGGGGGGAAATTCTTCTAATCTATTCTTTCCACCTGTTAATACTGATATTAAAATTGCCTAAATTTTATTTTTTCCAGGTTTACAGTCAATAAAGGGAAACCACCACAATTTTTATACTGCTATTTCTAAAGATGTCACTTATAAAGAACTTAAAAACCTGTTGAATTCTAAAAATATTATGTTAATTGATGTTAGAGAGGCATGGGAAATTCTGGAGTATGGAAAAATTCCTGGGTCTATCAATATACCATGTAAGTGACATGTGTCTTAAATCAATTTATTAAAAAACATATAAATAATTTACTATATCTAAAATCTAAGAAATTTTTAACATTTTATTTTAGTGGATGAGGTAGGTGAGGCTCTACAGATGAACCCAAGAGACTTCAAAGAGAAGTACAATGAAGTAAAGCCATCCAAATCTGACAACCTAGTGTTTTCTTGTTTAGCTGGAGTGAGAAGCAAGAAGGCTCTGGACACAGCAGTATCTCTGGGCTTTCACAGGTGTGTAGATGAAGGAAAAAATAGATTAATAAATGTGTAATGCAATGTTTCATATATATTACATTTTCATATGTCTATTTAAGAATTTCTTATAATTACTGTCAGTAAAGGCAGGATAGCAAAACTAAGAGCCTCTTTTCATCTAACTCAAAAGCAACACAATTTTTTAAATAGGTGTGGAGTCTAAATTGTATGGTGAATAGCCATACAAATTATTTATCTTTAAATTTCCTATCAGTCTTCTGTTATAAAGTACAGAAGCGGC